GCTATTTTGTTAGCCGTCCCACTAATATTTGATGAGCCTCGAACTGTCTATTTTCAGATGCCCCAAACATATCACAAGGCCACGAGGGGTATCTATATATCGATATAGATATAGATATAGATATAGATATAGATATAGATATAGATATAGATATAGACATAGATATAGATATAGATATAGATATAGATATAGATATAGATATAGATATAGATATAGATATAGATATAGATATAGATATAGATATAGATATAGATATAGATATAGATATAGATATAGATATAGATATAGATATAGATATAGATATAGATATAGATATAGATATAGATATAGATATAGATATAGATATAGATATAGATATAGATATAGATATAGATATAGATATAGATATAGATATAGATATAGATATAGATATAGATATAGATATAGATATAGATATAGATATAGATATAGATATAGATATAGATATAGATATAGATATAGATATAGATATAGATATAGATATAGATATAGATATAGATATAGATATAGATATAGATATAGATATAGATATAGATATATTTTCACATGGCATTTCCTAGTCGCGCTTTACCAATTAAAATATGTGTAGTTCTTTTAAGTTATTTATTCGATTGCAAACGTTTCAAAAGTAATTGCACTGAAATGCATATGGTATATTTACGAATTCTGTAATGCAAAGGTTCAAGCTGGCCTCCAACTAAACACACACACACATACACACACTTACCCCGCCCCACCCCCTTTGCAGCGAACCCCTTTGCTGTTGCTAATGGTTGCTGGGCAATTTGATAATGCGCAAAGTCCACACAGTTTAATTGAGTTGGGTTTGGGTTTGGGTTAGGCAAAGGAGGTGGGCGATCACGTGGGCGGGGCTGGGTATACGCTGTCTTAGTTCTGGCCAAAAGCTGTCAGGCAACTAAGGCTAAGGCAACGTTTGCCTGCGCCTAATTGCATTACGCTAATCCAATAGATTAAGACGCAGCTGAGGCAGCGCCGAGCTGCCTGTTGCAAGTTGCCTGTTGACTGTTGCCCTTAGCTGCTGTTGCTGCTTCCCCTCCTCTCTCTCTCTCACTCTCTCTCTCTAACCCCCTTAGCCCTGTCTAATGCAATGCAAAACAATAACAAAATTATGCTGGCAGCAGCAGCTGACAAGCTGTCAGTCGACTTAACCTAAAAAAAAAGAACCTAAAAATACCAGCTGCTGCTGCATTTGCCACCTGATATGCTTTTATTTTCCTTCCCTAACTTAAGCTATTTTTGTAAAAAATATTTTCTAATTTAATTAGTGGCTGGCATATGCAAATTATGCATAATTTATTAAATGCATATTTGCCACCAAAGGTTTTTGTGCCACATTTTCACATTTGGGGCCGCCCGCCATTTTGGCCAACTAATTATATGTTGACATGACATTTATTTGACTTGCATAAATTAGCCAATTAGTTGAGTGGCGCAAATGAAGTTAGCTCGCTGCCAGGTGTGTAAGTCAAGTGTGTGTGTGCGTGTGTGTTTATGTGTGTGTGCTTTGCCCCTTGCAGAAGTTATACGCACACGTCGACGTCGGGACGTTGAAAGTTGAACATTTTGAAGTTTATTTTGAACAATTTGCGTAAGTAGAGGCACAGCGCGTCGCAGGTCCTATAGATGCTAAATAAGTTACTTATCTAATATAGCTTAACCATTCTAACCAAATATTATCTTACATGAAAATGTGCTGTGAGTAAAAATCAGAGCCCATAAAGCAATTAATCGTTTTTGAAAGAAACAATTAAAATATAGAAACATTTAAATGCCCTGTTATGCTCTGCAGAAGTAAAGTTCTGCAGATAACGACATCTTCGATCATACAAAAATAATGTTGAGCATGAGCTTATGCATCAATTCATTGACAATAGGAGTATCGATAAATATCGATTAAATTTAACCAGCAGCTGAGTCGATTTACTCATGTGCGACTCTCAATGCGTTATTCTGTATGTACCCCCGAGATTTTAAGAACTAGATTCCAAAAATTCAAGCATAACATATTACATTAACATTATCATTTTTTAAATTATCGATCAATATCGATTTTGAGGAGCATCCCTTTAGAGCTCTCTAGAGCTACTCTTTAGCCATTTTAACGAGGTATTCTTGAAAAGGTGCTTTGACAATTTGACAATTATGTTCTTGGCTAAATAAAAAAGATTACCAGACAGCTTTTGAGTATCCGTATAAATAATAAATATGGGGTAATCGATAATTCGATAAATAATAAATATTGCAAAATAATCATTATATTTGTTAAGCAAATATTTATATTATAAATCGACGAGTTCTGGTATAGCATCACAAAATAGAATATGCAATTTCTGTGATATCTCTTCCATATTTTCTGACATGGACACAGCTCTGATTATTGCTTTGTACACAAGGTAAAAGCCAACGGACTGTTCTTTAAACTTAATAAAATCAAGGGACACACACGGAACTTGTGTAGAAATAAATTTTCTAGTTCACGTTTAAGATAACTTTCTGCTTTGCCCAAACAAATCTTAAATTCATATTTAAATATTGCAAATAAAATAAATATTAATTACTAACTGTGCACACACTTAATCCGTAGTTCAAAACACAAACCTGCTGTTAAATTACAGACAACACTCAGAGAGGCCTTTTCACAGTTTTTGCTTAAAGCGTGCGCTTTCTGTATGTCTGTCTATCTGGCTGTCAGCTGTCTGTCAGCTTGACAAAGCAGCTGGCAGTTAAGCCAGACCGCTTCTCCTCGCATCACAGCTGAGCAGACGTGGCTGAAAGGTGAATGCACAACAATTTGGACACAAGTGCAACGCGGCGTATACGCAATGTAGCTGGCATGGCTGAGTGCAATAGCTAAGCGCATGCACGACCGCTGCGTCCCAGCTAAAAGCCACGCCCACACATTTGCCAGACGACGCTTGTCATCATTAGATTAGAGTGCAGACGCACACACAGAAAGAGAGAGAGAGAGAGAGAGATGGAGAGAGAGAGAGAGGGAGAGAGAGGGGGGGAACACACACTGAGACAAAAATTAAACTGTTGGGCGACTGCGTTTTGCTTGTCAGGATGTGCGTTAAATTGTAAAACAACACAAAGCTTTGGGGCCAGGGCATGTGGCTAGCAGGGCTTTCGGGGCGCAGTAGGGTGTAGCTGGTAGTAGGGTGTCTGCTGCCGATGCCGGGCTCTGCCTTGCTGTCATGCTGTGGCCAGCTCTCGTTTATTTTTGCGTATTAGACGCAGCTATTTTGTGCTTATTGTTTCCCGACAGAAACATCCCATGCCACGCCCCCACAGCCCACAACATCATCCAACATTTCCTTGGTGCTCTTCAAATTGTTAGCCCTGTTATTTTTCGGTTGTTTGGGTTCTTGGTTGTGTTCGTATTGTCAGCTCATTTGTAATTTTTGCGCTACGATTTCAAATTAAGCAACCGGAAATGAGCTGACATTTTGCAGCCAGTGTCCTGTTGGCTGTTGTCCTGGCTGTTTGTGTTGTTGTTGCTGTTGCTGTTGCTGCTGTTGTCCTGGCATTGGTTTAACGACGCTTCGAGCTGCATTTAAAGTTGTCCGAAGCACATTTGCTGCTTACATGTTGTCCATTATGACAATATTAATATTTACATTTTGCCAGCTATTGTCCTGCCACATATCCTTTATATATATGTGACTCTGTGTGCGTGTATGTGTGTGTGTTTTTGTGTGTTTTTACAGCACACATGTTTCCTTTCTCTTGTCGCATGCATTTTGCATTTTCTTGTTTATTGCTTTATATGTCGCCTTCCCCTTTTAATTCCTATTAAAGGGATTGTCAATATGTTTTCCATAGCTATGCGTGCTTTTTGTCAGTTGATCCTTCATCCTTTAACTTGTTTTCATTATAGTTGTTACAGCTTGAATGGGCGTGGCACAATTATAGTTTAAGTCGGAATTTATAAACAGGTTTATTGTACTTTTGTTCGTTTTTTTTATAAGGGATTTAAATTGGTTTAGAATTAAAATATTGCAGCTAAGCTATTGCGTATGATTTCCGATTAGTATGCTGCGTAATCAAAACTAATTGACCTAAGGAGTAAGTTTTAAGGTTAAGGAGAGAATATCATGAAAATTTCCGCTCAAATAGTTATAAGACTTGTAAATGTTCAATATTTGTTAACCTAGAGAAGACATTTTTATGTTGAGACCACTCGATTTAATCCAGAAATTCTTAAGAGAAACTAATTAAAAATCATGTTAAAAATAAATTAAGGGAAATGGTAATAAAAAGCAGAGCATAAATCTAATTCGCATAACAGAACAGATTTTTCAAATAAATAAATAAAAATTAAATTTTTTGTTTAAACAAATTTATAAAATATTTACTTCTAACAAAGAAAAAATAATAATAGAGAGAAACATTTATTAATCTGTTAAAATAAATATGGAATTTTTATTTGTCTTGCCTAGTATTCATGTGTATATTACTTTTGCAAAATATATCATTTGAATAAAAATTAATAAATAAGAATTAATGAATTAATTAGACTTGTTCTAATTAACCTTAAATTATAAAAAAGAATGCCTTGTTTTAATACAGTTTTTAGTGCAGTTTGTATTGAACTTAACATATCATTCAATTTCAAAGCACTGCTAACATTAGATAGAATAGCTGTTAACTTAACAGCGGACTGCTTAGTTAAAAATATCCCCTAAAAGGCACAAATTCGAACTGAAAAGCTTTTGCCAATTACATCACACGCTGTCCATGCTCTCGAACAGTCAGCTGTTCGTCGCGCTCACAAAATGCCCAAACACGAAGCGATGTGCGGCCGACTGGTTAAGCGCTTCGGCTGCATTCGTTAAGTTGCGAGCGGCGCACGAACGAGCAAAGGGCGACAGCGTTGGCGACAGCGGCCCACTGCCGGCGACTGCGACAGGCAGAGGACGACAGCTTCCTGCTGCTGCTGCTTCAGTTACGTTGATAATGTCAAAACGTTTGGTTCGCTGTGCTGCTGCTGCTGCCAGTGCTGCTGCTGCTGCCGCCGCTGATGCTGCTGCTGCTGCTGTCAACGACGCTGCCACGCAAGGACAATAACACGAGAACAACAACAACGCCAACGAAATATGTTGCACAGGGCGCGTCTGGTGCATAAATAAATAAGAATTAGCGGATGACAACAATTAATAAACAATACAAAATACAGTTGCATTTGCGATTCAACAAAAACAACAAACAACCAGCATCAAATGCAGCCCATGGCAATGTGTCAGAAATTGTGAGAATTAATATTTCACTGGAGATTTGTGCGTTTTGGTAACAAACAACGCAAAACTTTTGTTCGGTTTTTACAACATTTTATGCTCTGTTTTTTGGGTAGGGGGCAAACACAGTTATCTCTGCTTTGCCTTTTTTTGGCGTTGCGCGTAAAATTATAAAAAATATGTGAAAAATGCGCAACAACAACAACAACAACAAGGAGAACAACAATAACAACTTTTGGGCACTCACGTAGGACAGCACGGTACGGTTTCGGTCTCGGTCCTGCACTGGATACCGGTTCAAGTCTCAGTCTCAGTGTCGGTCTCAAAGTTCAAATCCCACGTCGACGTCGACGCCGTGTATGTCCGTGTGTGTGCGTTTGTGAGCGCGTGTTCGGAATGTGTGTGTGTTTTTACACAAGACTGCAACCGGCGAGCGTTGTGTAACACTGTAACGTGCTAAATTTATTAATTTATGGCCACAGACTGCAAATAATCAAAGGCAACAACAACAAAAGCAGCGGCAAACATAATACAAACAATTTGTTAGGCCCCAAAGGTAAGCGGCTATCAGAATAAGTTTTAGCTTTTTATCTGGCATCTTATTTGGCTTAAGGCTTTAAGAAAAATAACACAAATTCAGAGACTTTAAGACCTAAACATTTTAACATAATTTCTATCATTAATTATGTCTAAAGTTAATATTAAAAATGTTATAGGAGTCGAGTTATGATTCGATGAGCTTACAAAATAATTTTGCAAAATGTTAAGGGACAATTAAAAGAATATTAAGAATTTAAGGAATTTGCAACATATTCAAACTAATTTTAAACTAATTTTAAAGACATTTAAGAACTTAAGAAAACAAATAAAATATTTATAAGAGCTAAAGAATTAAAAAAAAATTATGCCCAAGAGAAAATTAAAACCATTCTTAAAAACCTTCGAAATCATTTTTAAATATTTAAGAAAATATGAAGCAAATGATAGAAATTTTTAAGAATTTGAGGAAAATTGAAATTGAATTAACTAATCTCAGAATCTCTGAGAACAAACTACAAGTTGAAATATTTTATTAAATGTATGAGCATATTAAAATCAGAGATTATATCAAATATGAAAAACAATTGATGAAATTTTCAAGCAGTTGAGAACATATCATTAATAAGCGATGCTAAAGAGCTCTTGTACAAAGCAATTGGTTTATGCCATGGCAAATTCTAAATTTAATTTATTAATTTTATCACGAATAGCATCTACAATTACTTAAAAGCTCTATTGTTCTGTCAAAGGCAGGCTACAAATTCGCATAAAATTTACTGTGCTCGTGTGTGTGTATTTAAATTATAGACCGACAACGTTGCGTATGAGTGATAAACAATGCCTCTGATTAATCTAAGCTGCATTAATTTGTTGGCATAAATAGAGACCAACTTGTCGTATGCATAATGTGCAAGAAATTAATTTTGCCAAATAACAGAGAATGAGACATACATTTGGCAATTTACGCAAATCAATTTGAAATCAATTTGATGTCGTATATTTATGCATAAGTTTTACGCAGCTATTTCTACAGAACTGAGAAGATTTGCAGAATTTATATTGAATATATTAATTTATATCACATGAATTATGATCAAGCTGAAAATAAATATAATATTTTCAGAGTTCTATTGTAGAGATCCTCACTTTTATTTTTGCTTTTCTATCTTGAAATAGAACCCAAAAAAAATGTTTTCTTATGTAAATTTGTTCTATTTAATTATTAGTTTTATAAGAAAATGGAAACGTTTATGTAAATAACGTTTTGTTCCATTTAATTATGTTTATTTCTTAAAAAATGGAATATAATACAAAAATGTTTTTAATAAAAATTTGTTCTATTTAATTAAATATGTTTATTAGAATTGTTAATTTTCTTGAATATGGCATGTGACCATTTTTTAATCATATTTATGAAAAGCAAACTTTTAGCTTAAAATGATCTATTTTTACAATATATGACATGAATTAAATTTCTATTCCAAATTTATTATCGTCTAATTTTGTCGTTTGTCAGTTTTTATTTTTCTATTTCAATCAATAATTGGCAAATTTTTCCATTCCTTCGCATACTGAAAAAAACGTTTACAGGCCGTTTTGCATGCAGTTAGACTTGTAAACACCTTCGGATAACAATTGTCGCCAGGTTGTAGAGCCTCACAGGCAGCATTTCCATAGTAGAACTTTTTCACATTTCTATCATAGCTTTGACAATCGACAGGTGTTGATTTTTCCAATTCATTAAAGCAAAAACATTCGTTGCACGCATAAGTGCCAGAAACTAAAAATTTATAAATTATATTTAAATGCTTAACTTGTTTTTGGTAAGAGTTTAATTACCTGTGGGCAAACCGAGCAACAGCAGTGTGATAAACATATTCCAGAAGAAAGAAAATATCTACGTGAAATGCCAATAAGAAACTTTGTCCAATTGGCCACACTATTAGACAAGGCACTCCAATTGGATATGCTTAAACTGTGTTACAATGGGCGGACTTGTTAGTTAATGGAACTCTCTAACAAATTGGAGACATATATAAGTCTGTTCATTATTATGAAATATTGCATTATTGTAAAGTATAAATAATTTAATTATGCTTTATTTGTATTTAATTACATTCAGCTATTTTCAAATCTTTTTAAAAACTGATCGTCTAATACTGAAGTCTAACGAAGAGATGTGTAATAGTTTTTGGTCTTAATCTCCACGCCAAGAAGCGCAGACCTTGAGATAGATATTTGCCCTGAAGACGGTTGCCAAAATGCGGCCGAAATATATCGGAAAATATAATATAGAATCAAATTGTATTTCATTTTTGTTTTTAATAAACCCTGACAGCCGAGACAGCTTAAAAAAGATTTATAAAATGGAAAGTTCGCTAAAGCTAGCATTAAAAAGGTTTAACAAATATTTGGAAAGCTTTTTGAAGGTATTTGACGAGTGTTTAAAAGTAAATGCCTAAAAGTTATTTTAGAACTATGATAAAGCTGGGATAGAGTTGTATTAAAGCTTATTTAGAGCTGTTTTTTAGTGATTAGTAATGCCTTGAAACTACTTTACAACTGAGCAGCAATAAGATAATGACTACTGCATACACAGACTACTGTATACACGGTCACACTGGCAGCAAGTCACATGTATGTTAAATAATTATTATAAAGTCCGGCGTTCAAAAACACAATTTTTACTTTGATGACTTTGACTTTCATTAGATGTAACTAACGTATAAAAATAATGTTTACGTCAATTATTTTCAAAGCGGAGTCATTTTCAAATTAAGTCTTTTAAGTCGTTTCAATTTCGTTGTTCTCTTTACTCGACCAATCCGTTTCTTCTTTTAATCTGTGTGGCCATCCAGTTTTATTTGATGTGCCTAATTTAATTGAAATATGCCTATCGCTATTATATATATTTATCATTTTCTTTCAACCTAAACCTTTACAGTTATGCTCAGCAGTAGTGTTAAGAGGAGTCAGTCTGTGACAAGTGTTCAACAAATAAAGAACAGCGAAAATAAGGAGAGAATACTTACAGACATACATATATTTCAAAAAGGAACCCAAGTACACTTAATCATCCTCTCACAGAACTGTTTCAGACTAGAACAATTTGCAGTTTTAAGATTTTCCAAATATCTTTTTAGATTTCTTTCTGGTATTTTGCGAAACTGTTTAGAGCTCAGGCCAGCTTTAAATAACCCAACACATTTCAGGTATACTTTTGAATGTGCACAGAAGAACATTTTCTGAGCTCAGAGATTATACTTCTAATTGCTAAATGTCAGTTCATATAAATGATTATAACTTTATCTTCCATTTTAATAATTTATGTTCCACAACAAAGGTAAATCAAAAAGCGGAATTTATGAACTATCTTAAACAATTTTGAGCACAGTTCTTTGCCCAATTTTCAAATATTCAATTTGTTGGCCTTGCCGACTTTTCACTTTTCAGCTACACAGTGTTCAATTAACCCGTTTGCATTTACTAGTAAAAAGAATTTTAACTGGATAAAAATACACCGATTGCAGCCCCTGACCTACTTTAATCAACAATACATTCTTGTGACCTTTCGACAAAAAAAATGCGCTTACATTTTTTGAATATCCATTCTTTGTTTTTACATGTTGCCGGTTTGCTTTTTTGTTTTATTGTGTTCTTTTCTATTATCCTTACTTGTTGTTATTGTTATTTTTGGGGTTAACCCGAAAACAAGCAAATTGGGTTTCGACGGCGTTTGCCATTGTTTTTAGCCCAATGTTTGCGTTTTGTTGTTGTTTTACTTTTTGCCCTCGAACGAATTCGAACGTTAAATAATCTTTCATTTTGGCAACATTGGCAACCTTGTTGTGCCAGAGTTGTCAAAGGAGAAAAAACGAAATAATAAAAAGCGAAGTAAAATATTGCATGACACACACAAATTTATTGAGCTCGAAAATATCAAAAAGTTTGTTGAAATTTTGGAAAAAGCCAAACGCAACGCCGATCCGCCCGGATCTAATAGAATGGCCCAAAGCAGCCCCATTCCCAGCAGCAGGCGCACCTGTTGGGCACAAAATAAAAGGGCGGACAGCAGCCGCAATCGCAGCAGCCGCACCGTTCCATGCAGGGCAGGACCGGGCCGCAAGGCCCGCTCGTGAGTTTATAGGAGACAACACCGCAGGCCGTTTGCCCACAGCAGCAGGATCCACAGGGAGCACAGGATGGAGCACAGCATGGAGCACAGCCTCCGCCGCCACAGGGCCCGCACGGTCCGCACGAGTTGCACTGTCCGCACGGGCCGCAGGGGCCGCATGGGCCGCACGAGTTGCACGGTCCGCACGAGTTGCACTGTCCGCACGGGCCGCAGGGACCGCACGGGCCGCACGAGCCGCAAGGACCGCAAGGACCGCACGGACCGCATGGGCCGCAGCAGGGTGCACAGCGGGAGCTCTTGCAGGGTCCGCAGCGGGGGCCCCTGCGGGATCCACAGCCCCCGCGATTTCCGCATTTAGTCGAGCAGCCCATTTAAACGTTGTTCCTCGCTTCAGCCGACACCTGTGCGCGAAGTGCTTTCCGGCGTTTTTCTTGCGTTTTTCCTCTTTTGCAAATAAGCCACGCAAAAAATGTGCTAAATATGGCAGGCAATTGGCAGCTGCCTCGGTAATATTTAGCACCTTCTTTGGCTTCGATTGGCAAAACACTTTGACTTTTGGTTTTTTCACACAGTTTTTGTTTTATTTTATTATTTTCCAAAATCTATCTATCTGACACGGGACAAATGACACTTGACGCCCGGTTGACTCTGGACAGTCGCCTCTGCCTCACCCCCCGCCCGCCCGCACCTGCTCTTGCAGGTGCCCCACAAAGGCAGCCCTAATAGCTGTCACTGCGCCCTAACCTCAAAGCTGCAACATCTAACCTCAAAACTGCAGCAGCTTACCTCAAAACTGCACACGCCTGCCAACTATTAAATTTCATTTAAATTTGTATTTACCCTTGCGGTCGTCTATTTGGCTTTTCCCAAGACAACTGCAACACCTTTCACCTCTATCTCCCCGCAGCACGCCTACATGGCAGCCAAACCACACGAGTGAATCGGGCGACCCGCATTCAAAGGCCGTACTCGGTTTTTGGGCATGCCGCTGCGGTTGGCTGGGTCAGTGGGGCTAATGTAATTGATTGTCTGGGCCTGGCTGAGCAAGACCTGAAAGTGCACTACGGCAAGTGCGAAAAAAAAGCTGTAACATAGATTGTCTAGTGGTCCTTCTGGGCGCAAGTGTGTGCGATTTTTGCATACCAACTGCGTGCGAGGCTGCACAGTGGTTGGCATTTGAGAATTTGTTAAGTTTTTATTTATCAATGATTTTATTGGTCATTAAACTATCAAACTATCAGCTGAAAGCGTGGCTGAACTTTAATGCCAAATGGAATTATGCAGAAATGCGTTAACTAACAACAAGCAAATGTTTAATGCACGTAAATATAATAATAAAAATCAAATATTACTATATTATATTATAAGATATTATATTATCCAAGAACTTTTATTTACGATAGATACACATAGGCTTTATTATTCAGAAGTTTTCCTTAACTAATAAGAAACATAAACTTAATTCAAGTAAATAAAGTCATACAAATTAAATAATTATATTAAAGTTCAATCAGTATTATTAGGTTTGGTTAGGATAAGTTACTTTTATAAAAAATATATATGATACTTATACTTAAACCAATTAATATAAATGCAACTACAAAATTCTTCAGGTAATATTTCTGAACAGAGAGCAGCTAGAAGCTAAGAAGTTAACTAAAACTAAAATTATTTGTTGAATAGAAATGATTGCGTTGAAAAAGTACATCATTTCTAGGTCTTTATACGGTCCGAAGTTTCTTCGAGTTGCTCAAATAAAAATAATTTCAACAATATACAATAATGTCCGCTATTAATTAGAATTGATTTGAGTAAAAGTTGGTTATTGTCTAAAGATGTTGATATTAAAATAAATTTAGAAAAATATAAAATCAAATTAGGCTATTATTTACAAGTGATTAAAAATGTTCTCTATCATAGTTTTCATAAAGAACAACTAAGTGATAAAAATTTGTCACTGTCGTAAACTTATGCAAAAATTATTAGATATGCACAATGCAATTTAGAAGACTTATTTTTGGTAACAACAACTTTGATAACTGTCTAAAGTAAATAAAATTGCATCCTAACAAAATATCGAACAAATTTTCAACTTTCGCACAACTTCAACCACTGTACCTGGTTGTTGGATTAATTTCACTTTAGCGTGCCTCGGTTTTTAGCATATTTTTTTATTTTTTTTTTCTGCGCTATGTGCGAGATTTTCGTGGATTTCAGCAGGGCTTGGCAAGATTTACGAAATGGTCTGGCTTAGTCTGGAGTGGGCTGGGCTGGTCTGGGTTGGTCTGGCCTGGTCTGGTCTGGCCTGGACTGGGCTGCCCGGTTGCCTGGCTTGCTTTCGACCTGTCGCTGAGATTTCAATTGTACAAGTCGGCGTCGCTGGGCATGTCAACAGCTGTCACGAGTTACAACGCTGACGACGAGCTCTGTCTATGAAAATGGATTTCATTCGAATTCCTTTTTCGGTCCAAGCAACACCTAAAGCAAAACACCAACAACAACCAATAGACACACAGACACACACACACCCATACCCATATTTCCATATCGGTTTCGGCTCCAAGTTGGCTTAAATACAAATTCCAGATTATCTTCCGATTTTCCCATTGTTATTTTAACTCAAAAACCGATAGAAAAAATCAAGAAATAGTAACTAACAATGTGTGGAGGTTGGGCCTGTGCTTCGTACGGCATTGCCTGCAGCAATCATCGTCTGTCCAATATGCGGTACACAGGCCGTTGTTTTGCGCCCACCCCCTGCGGCATCTCTGATAATTGCTCGGCCTGCGGCGGCTGTTGTGGCGGGTGTTGCGGTTGGTAGTAAATGGTGAAATAAACGCGGTACACCGACTGGTAAGATGGGATCAAATACACATATACATATGTATGCTTATATAGCAAAGTTGGCCATTTAACAGGAGCTGCTGATGTTTTTTTTTTAATCAATGTTGGCATTGACTTCATTATCCAAAATTGAAATGGGGAAAATGTTGTAAAATCATGAAACGAGTCTAGTTGTTGCCAGCCAACATCTCACACCAAAATTTTACAGTTTCAAGAGTAAGTTTCTCATGCAAAGCCATTTCTATATATATATATTCATCGTCAATATACACATTAGCCAAAATCGATCAATAGGCGAGATGTGCGGCGGCTGGGCTTGTGCATCCTATAGTTTGGCCTGCAATAATCCACCTTTGTCCACTTTGCGTTACACGGGACGCGAGTTCATACCCACGCCCTGTGGACCACACGACAAATGCTTTGCCAATGACACCAGCCGCAACCGGGGCAATTGTATGCGGCCGCAAAGTACAACAGTCGAAATGAATCCGTGCTTGGATCTAACCAAAGCTGAGGAAACCGACCAGATTGAAGCAGATGTCGCCAAGCAGGCCAAAGACAACTGGAAACTGGCATATGCAAAAGTCAAATGCACTCCAGCAGAAGATGGTTCTAAAAAAGGAGATTGAAACAATTTTACACAACACCTTGCTCCAGCAATAGATTTGCCAAGTTTTATACTGAAATAAAAGAAACCATTTTTTAAACTTTGGTGCCCGAAATTTCCCATTTCGATCGAGTCAATATTTGGTTTAGAATTTCAATTGACTAACTCTAATTACGAATACAAATCCGCATTTAACTCCGAAGATTTGCTGCGACAATTTCATATCTGACAGTATTTGTAATTTATATTTCTCATGTATATCTAATTCAATATTGTTTAAAGCCTAGTTATGGAATGCAACAATGTTCTTGAATGGTTATCCCCAAGTTTTTATAATGTATAAATATGTTAATTTTTCCAGGTATTATATATAGTAGTGTTGTGAAACTCTAGACAGAAACAAATGAATAGTATGTTTTGTATATATTGCTTCTAATATTTTGATTCGGGAGAAACTTGCATATTTTTAAGAAATAATTGAATTCCAATTAATATAAAGGAATTAAAATACCATAGAAAAATCCTGTCGGATGTTATCGCCACACAGTTGAATATATTTCATGGAATTCAACATAATATATACATTTTTGTCTATTCCAGTTTGGTAAAACATTATCCCTGGTGAACAAGATACTGTCTTGGGGAATATACTTCAGTATCTCTATATATAAAACTGTTTGTCCTGACTGACTGACTGACTGACTGACTGACTGACTGACTGACTGACTGACTGATTGGTGATCAACGCACAGCCCAAACCGTAAGAGCTAAGAAGCTGAAATTTTCACTGTAGCTACCTTATGTGATGTAGGTGCACGTTAAGACGGGGTTTTGGGAAATTCCACCCGCAAGTGTGGCAAAATCGCGAAAAACGTTTGTATGTAACTTTTTTGTTTACCATCCGATCGGCCTCAAACTTATTTTCAAAGATCTTTGTTTAAATTCATTTGAGGGGTGTTTCACACTTTTCGAAAAATACGTTCCTCCTTGGTGGAAATGGAGGTCAAAGATTTGGTGGGTGACGGTTCGCGCTCAAATTCATTTACAGAGATCTATAAGAAAAATCATTTGATACGTGTTTCACACTTCTCACAGAATTCAAACTTCTTCGGGGGGAATGCGATTTAAAGATTTTTTGGGCGAAGTTTTAAGTTGTGTCCGATTTGCTTCAAACTTATTTTCAAAGCTCTACATAAGAATGTAATGAATACGTATTTCAGCGATTTGGGAAATTCCACTCGCAACAGTGGTAAATTGGCGGAAAACGTTTGTATGAAAGTTATTTGTTTACCGTCCGATCAGTTTCAAAATCATTTCAATTTTTTTTGAGAATTTTGATTTAATAACATACGTGCCACGGACAAGGCCGGGTTATACCCGCTAGTCTTATATAAAAATTAAACATTACTTTCGATAGATGAAGAATGTATTAAGGAATTCAATAGTCCAATATATAATAATATAAATATAATTATGTGTTGTTAAACACTGTTTTCTCACCTTTCAAATGAGGATCTATAAATGCTATAAGACAAACAAAAACTCATTTTCTGTATTTTATTTAAGAGAATGTATTTCAAGGAATTCAACATAAAAATACACATTTTTGCATATTGTGAAATATTTTGAATGATGAACTCCGCATCTTATTTAAAAATTAAACATAACCTTCGATAGATTCATGGAATTAGATCGAATTATAGAATGGAATCCAGTTCCAGATAGAATCAAAATATCCCGTGCAACATACCGCAGTATATAAATACAAATAATTAGTCCAGGTATTGCAAAGGTGAGCAGTGCTGTATATATTCCATCTATCTCCCGAATTGTTCACTAGGGAGGAACTTCACATGCTATAGACCAAAAAAAATACCAACATATTGCACTTTTCTTTGCATTATATTAACAAATTAAAACGAATGACTTTCTGCAGATTTACAAAAAAAAAAAACCGAAAAAAAATGTCCGCCGTGTTCCTACGCAAGCATACAGAATAAAATGGTTATTAAATTGGTTTGTCTTGTGAACAGTCCAATTGATAGGGCCTAGTAGAAGGGTCCAAAACATCCACATTCACCACAGCAGCAGCATCGATTGGGTGCACAGGTCCAAGGGCCACAGGGCGGGCAAGGACCACAACAGCAATTGTTATAATTCATCGCGGGCAGAGCGGGTCCAACCGGACCATATGCCAGGGCATAAGAAACGCTTCCACAGGGACCACAGCACATTTTCTTCAATTGAAATCTATCTTAAACAGGAACATGCCGAAGTTAACGCATTACGCAGCTAAAAAGAAACTAATAGGACTTACCAACAAATTTCAAGAGACAATTACTTGCGTTTGGAATGCGGGCGAAGATTTTTTTTCGTTTCGAAAAATATCTACTATTTTTCGGTGTTATTGTTTAGGCGAGAGACGAAAATGTAATGGCACTTGGAGCAGTATAAAGCCTAAGCATCGACTGCTTTAAAGAATTTCAATTCAATGCCAACTTGATTTGTGCTCACGAAAAAAATAGACACTTTCAAACTGCAACGAAATATCGATCAAGAGTTTCGCATGTCGAAGGGTTTGCTTCTTTTTTTCGTTTTTGCACAAATTTTACACATCAATGATTTAACACCGAGACGAGCGACACATAAAAAATAGAGAGAGATATAAAAAAAAATAGGAAAAACAGAAAAGCAAAACCTATCTTTGGAAAGCCGCACATCAAATACTCTCACAGCCTTATGATATAGCATTGATATAAATTATCATTCAATTATTTCTACAGAAACAAAATTATATAATGAGTATCTGAATGATGTTAACAAAAGCAATTATATTTACTATCGATTATTAAAGATCAACGGGTTATCCGATGAGTTAACAAAGTTAATTAAAATTATTCTCGATTATTATCAATAGATTATTTCCATAGAACTTTAATTATATAATGAGTCGATCGATGAGGTTATTAAGATTAATTATAAATATTATTGATAATTATCGATCTATTATTACTATGAAAACACAATAAGTATACATAACAGAAGGGATTATAATTATTCTCGATATATATCGATATAGCACCAGAATACTAATAATAAGTTTATCTATGATGTTAACAGAAGAAATAATGCAAAATATCGATTGTTATCGATCGATTATTTCTATTGTAATACAACTATATATTAGGTTCTCTTATGATGTCAAGATAGACTCAAAAACAGTAGCAAATATATAGTAGGACACTATATGAATTTCCCATGATTATAAGATTCCCCTTATAATATAAGTCCATTAAAGCTTGTAGGCTGCTGGGCTGAATTAGGATATTCGAAAAAAACGTCTGAAATAAACTCAATCAACTGATCGTTCAGCTTTTTGATATAAAGCTGCGATTCGGCCTGCAATAAAAAGACAAATCTTCACCGAGACCCTTTGCGTTAATAATTTCGAGTATATAAATATGAACTGTGTGGCATCCGAGACGTCTGCTTGAAATCGTTGCACATTTAATGACAAAATTATAAAACCCTTAGCATTGAGTATAGAAATTGAATTTCTCTAAACGAGAAAACAGCGCAACAGTTTTGCCCCATGGCAAAAGTAAGAAATCATTGAAACATGTCTAAAAAAAATAAATAAAATCAAAAGAAAAGAAAAGGGAAAAGCAGAGCTCCATAAAATGCCGGAGCAAAGTGGATGGCAAAGGATTTCGCTTACCGTGCGCCTGCAGCTCAGAGAGCTTCAGGATTCGCCTCGACTCCTCTAAAACTGGGGCAAAGTCGAAGTCAACCCACAGACGGCAGCCATGAAAGTCTATTAGACTCAACGAAGCAACCTTAACGTCATTTCAGCTCGATGGGGGTTAATGTCTATGTGTGTGTGTGTGTGGCACATCACAGGACACGACAAGCTACCTAACTTGACTGTCTATATATGTGTACGTGTGTATGTGTTGTGATTCACAAAAGCTGACAAGCTCATCGATGCCTGAACATTAGCTAAACATAAATTACACAGATGACTGCACAACAATTGAGGCGTTTATTATAATGTGTGTTCACACTTGAAGCTTTCAAAAGACCAGCGCGGGGCATAGGTAAATTTTAGGGGGTAGTGGGGTTGTTGGAGGAAAGTGGAGCTTAAAAGCGCAGACTAGAGATTAAGCCAAAATTGTAGACCTTATTTTTCTGTCTACTTTAAATCAAACGAACAATATGTTTGCAGGCGCAGATAAGCCAGAAGAAATATTTATTGTGTAAAACTCTAGGTAGGCAGTGAAAGCTAGCTGTTATTCCTGGAATTACAATGACAAACAATGAACATAAAAAAATAAACTCAAGATAAAAGAACATATATATATTTAAGAAATCGATTTACTTTTCTATCAATTGCTGACGCATGTGTGAGGCCAAAGAGAAGACTTCTTATTCTAAAGGAAATATGCTGTGAGCAAAATGTGACAAAATCAAGCTAAAAGGCTGTGAATGTGATTCGAGAACAAACTTATGTTTAACAATAATTTTTAATGGGTTATAACAATTAGTTAATTTGCTAATAAAAAGATACATATTTTCAAGTAGGCAACTTTCCTAATATATGATAAGTATATCACACAATAAAAAGTGGCAACTGTTAATTTAATTTATGTACCTTCCATCTATATTTACTGTGACATATATATATTTATATTTCTGATTTACAAAAATGTCATTACAAAAATGCAATTTTTATTATATTTTTCTTAATCCTATAAACCCTTTGAATTGAATAATTCTAGATAATTTAATAAATATATGTTATATTTAGTCAACACTTAATAAATATGTAAATATTAATAACAATCATAATATTAATTTATAATATAATGTTTTATGATATATTGTTGTGTTTTATAAGTTTTATATTTCTCAATCTTTGCAGAAAGGCTTCAATATTTGCATGCAATTAAATCAATATATTGACTTTCTTAAAATCATTAAATAAAATATTTAAATACTTCAATTGATAGGTTTTGCAATTTGGTGAGCTTCTTCGTATTTAATTTTTCTCAATCTTATAAACAATTTGCCACTTGGGTTGAATATTCTTATATAACTCAACAAATATATGACCTTTCTAATCAACATTAAATAAATAAATATATAATAATAGCAATAATACTACAACAAAAATAATAATAATAAAAGATAATACTAATAATAATAATAACAATTATGATAATATTTTCAAATCTAATTGTAATAAAAATAATATTAATAATAGTAATTTATAATTTTATTTATAGTTTTTGCGATTTGGTGAGCTACTCCGTATTTTATATATTAGAATCCTATAAACGATTTGCAGTATTTGCATATAATTTAATAAATAAATATTTAATTTTGTTTCAACGTTTAATAAATATTTCATAAATATTTTAATTCATGGTATTTCGATTTGATATTTCGTATATTTTTAAATCTCATAACAATTTGCAAGATGGATTCAATATTTGTATATTATTAAAAAAAAATTATTTATTTGTAGGCAAATAAAAATATATATATAATGTATATATATAATGTAAATATTAAATTAATAATTCTCGCGTTAAAGAGCAGCTTACTTTGTGTTTTTGAAAGATACTTTATATATTTTGCGAGCCAAATTAGAATTCATGCTAATTTATAATATATTAATATTTATTAAATTGCCAATAATATTGCTAGTTAAAAATATTGGTATTAAATTTAAGGTAAACAATATGTTGTTTATCTTTAAGTCTAATATTTCACAAAGGTCGTATACTTCATATAATATTCTACCGCAAAATAGTTTTCCCTTTTATGTAAAAAAAAAAACAAAACAAACTACTTAAAAACTATTGTAAAACTTATTTAGCAATAGCAGAAAACCAAATCAAACTCAACTGCAAATCGTGGGTGCCGCCCCCTTTGCTCGAGGGATGGGGCTGGCTGCGTACTTAGGAAAAATGGTTGCCCACTTAAGATAATCTCATTGGTGGCATGCCAAAAAGTTTGCGGCGCGCCGAGTGAAAACACACACACACACACACACACACACACACGCACGCACACAATATAAAAATGTCACCACAGCAAACAAAGAAAGCAACAACTCATGAAAGTAAATAAAAGCAGCAACTTCTAAAAAAAGGTATTTTCTTTTAAATCAAATAGCTGTACAAAAATTTTTGCTCAGGTTCTTTTTTTTTTTTGCTTCTTTTCTTATATTTGGTCCCTGGTCCTTTGGCTGTGGCCACTTGTAAAGGACACAGCAGCAGCATTTTGGCCACTTCATTTCATACCAGAAACATATTGAGCCGCTGCCACTTGAGTGTGCGCCAAGAGATAAGCGCAATTATATGGATTCAAGTGGCGGTCGGACCCGGACCCAGACATGGTGGGCTGCTCCTGTCCGGAGCGCACACAACTGTATAAATTAGGTAAAAATTATGTGGCGTTGGCCTTCATGGAGACAAATGCGCGACAGTTTGGCCGGGGCTTTAAGTGCACTTTTTCTGAGCGTGTATGTTACAGCACTTTAAATCTATATACAAATATACTATATATATATCAAATACTCTGCCCTGATATTGAAAGGTATCCTTGCACGGCTAGCAAATGCTTCTAAACTTTTGCCATGTCACATTTGTCTTCAAGTGCTTGTTATGGGCAATTTTTGGCAACTGCTTTCGAGCTTTTGGCTTTTGTTTTCTGACCGCATGCTGTTTACCAGTAGTGTACTTTTGTCAGTGTGTGTGTGTGTGTGTGTGTGTATAGGAGCGTGGCTTGCTCTGTGCTTTACTTCAAGTGCTCTTTGAGCTACCCAGCGGCATGTCGAGCCTTGTGGCATGCCAAGCAAATTATTGCCAAGAAGTGAAACGTTGACAAGTGCCCATTGAAAACGAGACACTCAAGTCGTCAATATTGTGCGGCGGCAAGTTGTTAGGGCAGAGAATTTGGAATTTTAGAGAGCCAAAAGTTTGTGAAAACTAAAGTAGCACAAGAATGAAACACATGCCTTCTTTATTAGCTGAAATATTCGAGTGTTTGCACACAAAGCAAGCGTGAGCTATTCATGCAAAATTATTGGGAAGTTTAGTTTACCACAAAATTAAGCAAAGAAATTGTTTTGTATAGTTTATTAATATATTTTGGGTGTCTAATTTTATTTACCAAAGAAAAGTTAAATAAATGTTTTGCTAAGCTAAGTTAACGTGTGAAATAAAACTAATTCAGTTGATTTTTTGATTTAAATGTCTTTAGTTCTATTTTTCACCTGACTTCGGGTGACTAACTTAAGGCCTAAGAGTTAACATGCTGAGCCCGAGGTTCAGGGATCAAAATCCCTGAGGATAGTATCTTTAATTTTTTTAATATAATTTTTAATCCCCTGGCGGACAAATAGTCGGAAAATTGAATGTTTAATAGAATTTTATGCAAAGGCAATATTTATAACATTTACAAT